AGATTTCCCAGTGAAAGAAGATGACGACAAGGTCAATGATGTCAAGTCAAAATTTTCACCAGCCTCCTCACGAACCGATAAGTCAGGCGGAAGAAAAATTTTCCAGGTGTCCTGGTTTCTGGTAAAAGTCCGAGCTGTTGAGGGTGGCGGATCCCCAGCCGCTCAGACCTTGCTGGAAGAGGGTTTCATAAGAAAGGAGGAATTCCCACTCACCGGCACTCTTTTTTTTAAAAATTATTGTCATTCTTGTATATTATTGAAGATTATTCTAGAAATTATCTGATGCGACTGAGCTTCTTTCACGAACTGCTTGCTGTTTCAGAAAGGCGGTCCCTCGTGTCTATTTTGATATACCTAGATATCGATAAAAACATGATATTTCAATTGTCTAATTAAAACATTGTATGATACACATTTGTGAATTTATAGCCAAAATAACCCTATTTTAAAGCCCTAGAGCAAAAGACCTTAAAACCTTAATACAATAAAAGCTTGTGATTTCGAGACAGCATGAACATTTTTATTCTTTGTCAAACCGTTAACATCTATTAAGGATTCCCAATGTATTCCACAGTTGTTAACAAGACGCATTTTTTCAAATTTATTTCAAATTGCCTAAAGCTGTTCGAGAGACTATACTTCCAAGGTGCAATGTAATTACAATTTATTTTATGTTAGGTTCAAAAGATTGCCAGCTTCTTTTTTGACAGGAGCTCGTTATAGTTATTATCCTTCAAATAGAAGCGCTAAATTGAGCGTGACTCTTTGTGCTAGCGTAAGAATATGTAAATAAGTTGAGAAATATTCTTTTTTTAAATAGCTAAATATGAAAGATTGCTTTGCCGACATTTCTTGGCCAGTTTATTATCACCTGTTATGAACGAATGGCGCCTGCTACCCACACACGTTCGTAGAAACTTAAGAAAATTCGACGTAAATTATAACTTGTTCTTTTCGCTCAGGTTTTTACGTCAGATTGTTCAACAAATTTCAAAAAGTGCCTTTAATGATTTTGAGTTCCTTATACGCTTATTCTCATTCTCGTTGCGAATCGACACACTCCAATTATTTTAAAATTTACGCGTTCTGCTTTTCAAGCGGATGATTTACTATACTGCGCCAAATTATTTAAATTTATTTTATTTGTTTTGTTTACTCATTTTTCATTTATAAGCATAAATATAGCTTTAAATCGATATTGTCTGTCTTCTCTGTAGAGATACAAGTCTTTTTTTAAGATAATAACGTAGTGTGAAAGACTGCTAAATGCATGCAAACACATCTCCATAAATCTGTGGAAGATCCCACGCATTTTCAGTGGTTTATTACCTGAGATCGAGCGCCGATTTCTTTACACAATAGAAACGCAAATATCTGCCAAATATAGATCTTCAACTATTTCAAACAAAGGCGTGCATGGAATCTTAATGAACAAATACATTTCCAATTTGTTTTTTTCACAATCGTTTGCTACTAAAATTGTGACCTAATAGCATCTGCAGAAATGAACTTTGATGCAATTGATAGCATCAAAGTTTATTTTCGTTATTCTGATGAAGCTGCATTCTAGCAAAACACAAGCATCTTTGTCCATCACTGGAAATTGAGCTGTAGAAGAAAATACGATAATATTATCTAAATCTTACACGCCTTTGGGAAAAAAGTACCGATCATTTACCAATTGAGGTTTCATGGTATCAAACTCTTGTTGTAATTTGGAAATGTTTGAAATAATTACTTTGACCGTGTTTAATGACCATGAAAGTCATTCCCTAAGCCATATAATAATTTCTATGAACAGTCGTGAAACCACTACCATATTTCTGTCATCAACGGCTATGTTTCTTAGGTATATAAAAGGTATAAATAAATTAAGCGAAGCCCAACAATGCAAATCACCACAGGTAGACAAAATTCAAAAGACTCCCCAGATAAAAAATGTTAATCTGCCCCAATAAGCCCAACCCGACTATTAAAACGTCGAAATTTAATTTATAAAGTCTGAATCGATAAGAATAATGGTACCGGGACAGAGCCATCCGTGTCACCTTAAACCTAAGTATTGGGTGACAGCTTCGCCTTATCGTAGTTATCAACATCGGTGTGGTAAATTAATTAAAGATGCTTGTGACATCATTAGTCACTTAGTGTTACTTTAGTCTGTCTAGGAACAGATAGACTAGCTGATTTACAGCTGTTCATGTGGGGTACAAATTTTACCCTAAAAAGGTTTTACGAGGGTCTCCCAAATTAATTCTGTCGACTCAAATAAATAGTTAGGTTGTTATTTCTATAAAGAAAACAAGTAAAAAAGTGTCATGTGGCACTTTTGTAACTAAGTTCAGCAAATTTGGAACGAACGGGTGTGAATTTTTTTTGACAATTCTAGAAGCAACGACGCGCTATAAAACGAAGTCGGTCAATGAGGGTAAAAGTCAGTGATGAATATAACGCCAGTCTAACAATAACCAATTAGTGAGCGATTCATTAAAACATTGATAAGTTAAACGCAATGCTAGTTCCGTCGGCGTGATTATTGTGTAATTTTCTCGAACAGAATTATAATGGCTCAATGTGGAAACCTCAGAGAAATATCCTTCTGTTGTTGAAAATATAGTTATACCAGGAATTAGGATATTATCAGATCATCTAAACCCAACTGCCCAACAGAACGTCCCAGAGACACAGTGTGGCTTTTGAATCAACCGAGGTACTGCTGACATGATTTCAAGTGCAAGAGAAATCCAGAAAGCAAAATTATTATTATTATTATTTAAGTTATTTATTTAATTTTAGTTTAAATTTATCCTAGAGACGATTGCGCAAGAGAATACAGTCATGGTGTCGTGGGTTAAAAGCCTCAGCGGCAATCAAGGAAAGAGCAGATACCCTAGCACACACTGGAGCGAAAGGGAAACCAATCAGCCCTGAGCCTTTTTTACCATTGACTAGCAAAACCGTAAATCTAGTCAGAGAACACACCTACAGAATTCTTCGTATGGGCGAGGCAGGACTTCAGGCACTCGAGTGCCGCTATCCGCTACAAGCTAACCTGACAGAATATCTTCTTCAACTGCCTCGGAACAACTTAGGGAAACTAAGGCTTACAGGGTACTGTAAGCTAAATAGGCACCTTCACACTCTGAGATTAATAAACGACCCAACCTGCAGAGTGTGCAATAAGGACGAGCTGTGTTATTGTCCAGCTCTCGTGAATACATGAGAATCTATTGAAAGGGACCGGTGGCCATCAATGGCAACAATTATCTCCGCTGCCAAACTACTGATCTATGTCAATACTGTGGGCTGGCTTAACGAGTAACACTCTAACGGATGATACAATGGGCCCACTGAAGAGGCCTAAGCACAAGGCGATGCCAGTCAAACCTCCAAATCTCTATCCATTTATCTAAGCCTAGAAAAATACCACCAGCGCTGCCTATAAGATGAATCCTACGGATTAAATGGTAGGACCGACGAACGAACATTAGTGTTTTAGAGGAGGCCAAAGCAACTAGCATGGAAGCCCTCATCATTGAGCATCAACTTCGCTGGACAGCTCACCCCGACCGCATGCCCGAAACACGTCTTCCACGACAGATTCTTGAAAGAGGGAAAACGAAATCAAGTAGGTCAACAAAAACGCTACAAAGATGTTCTTTCTTAAGGAAAATATGGCAAAGTGCCGCATCGATACCGGTAACTGGGAGACGACCATGTGGCATCCAGTAAGCCATGACGAAGCACAAACTTTGAAGAAGACCGACGCAGACACGAGACCGAAAAGAGGGACCGCAGGTCTGATAGGTGCGAGAGAACTGAGGGAGAGAAAATGCTTCCACAGAGGCTGGGTGTGCCAAGACCGTGGAAGAATGTGCGGCTCCAGTGCCTCTATTCTTGAGTTTCAGGGAGTAGAAATTACGAGAGAAAGTAGGCGTGGCTCCCAAGATGTGAAATGATACTATTCTTGAAATATTTTGATGGAACATTGTGGGAATTTCATTCCCTCGAGGGAATTGAAAATTCTATTAGAAATTTGACAGGAAATGGAATTTGCTGATATGAACTTGTCAATCTAATTTTTCAAAATCTGTTTTTGTTTGTTTTCCAATTCCGTTGTGTCGTGTTGTTGGTTCTTGAACTTCTTTTTATATTATTAGTTAGCGAATTTATTTATGTTAATTTGGAATAATATTATAAATGATTTAGAATGATGATGTTGACGAAGATGTTCTGCCTCTAAAAGTGACCCTTTACATTATCGGAGTACAAATTTGTGCAACTTTTTTATTGGCCCCCTCTGGCATACAATTTAAAATTGTCGCTAACTCCAACCACAGGGATTGACACCAAGCCCTTGGTAATGTGGGCTGAATTTTTCGACGAAATACATATGTTCTTGTGGATGAAAAGTCCAGCAGCATTTCTTTCTGGTGTTTAATTTTCCTAATTTTTTATTAAAAAGTAAAATTTAATGAAGACAAAAATAGGATCCTCATGAAAAAACAGAACATAAAGTACAATCACTAATCACATGGAAGAATTGAATTAATTGTAAGCAAAGATATTGAAAGTTTGAAAGACGAAAGACGTTGATGGTTTTGATATAGGTGAACCTATCTATAATATGTCGGTCAGAATTTTCCAAGCTGTGATTGGATAGAATTTGGACTCGACACTTGGCAACTTTGGACATATTTTTACTCCCTCCCAGGTACTCCCTCCTTTCAAGAATAAGTATTTTTAAAACCGAGAGAATAATTTGAGAGTAGAAAAAGATGGCAGGTGTTCAGAGAGCAATTTTTCTATTGGTTATAAGAATAGGGGCACAGAATGGGTTTATATACCCATCACAAAACGCACAATCGATGACAATAAGAATAGATAGAAGCATACTCTCTATATAGCTGGCCAATTTTGGAATAGCTTCTGAGAATAAAATAGACAATTTCTAATTATTTGAATCTTCTCGTTTCGTTTTAATTATGGAATAAAAATCCGCAAATCAAAAATAAAAATATATATTTCAATAAATAGTACATATACATGAAAATAATTTAATTTACTTAAGTACATGGAACACTTATTTACCACATTGTTTACCGATTCGCAGGTAATGGATAGCATTTCATCTATTATGTGTCTATAGGTAAATTGACATAACCAAGACCGTATGGGGAAGTCTTGTTGGTAATTAGGTAAAAGTCACCAGTTAGACTAAAAAAAAAAAAAACATAAATATTTCATTGGAAGCGTGAGAAAGGGTCCAACCTTCGTGATAATCAAGAACGTTTTTAATCGTCAGTTTGTGATGATTATGATAGAAGTTAGGTACAAAAAGTAGGTGAATTAATTTTTATACAGATGAATTAGATCTCTTTAAGATAACTTTGGCGAAACATTTTCTTCATTTCTACTTACGTTTCATTATAAGTAATCCCTCCCATAAAAGCAATTGTATTATTTTGACAAAGTCCAGCTTCATAAGCTTTAAAAGATTTGCATTCCGTAGAAACAAAATTATTGCTTCCGGATACTAAAGATTCGCCAAAATAATAAAATGAGCGGCCATGTGAACATGATCCGAAAGAAGGGTCACATCCAGGCTGAGATAAACCTCCATTTGGCCAGTAGTCTATGTCGCCGATGTGAAAGTTCGTTCCTAAGAACATTGCATCGGTGTGAATCACTTCTACATATTGTGCATCGTTAACGTTAAGCCTGTTGTTTGGTAATGCTTTATAGTATAATGGTCCAGCTGGATCCAACCCGGTGATGCTGGATACCAGACCATCAACATATCTACCTAAAATTATAGGTGAAAACTTATCACTTGAGTTAGCTAGTAGATAATTATTTTACCTGCAAATCCACAAATATGAGCTCCCAAACTATGACCGATCAATGAAAATCTTTCCAGAGGATAGTTATAAGCTTCTGATATATTTCGAATAGATTTCCCCACAAAGTTGCCTACAGATGAAACTGCGAGGTAAGCTGTGAAATAACTAAAACGGGAAAAATTATCCCAATCAACACTGATTACGTTGACGTCTCTGATTTCCAATAAAGCTGCATTGACAACATTATTGAATGTCGAATTAAACGTATTAAGCCAACCATGAATAACAAAAACTGTATCTAGGTTCGTATCAAATGCAGTCAAAAGTTTTATTTCTCCAATTTCTGATAAAGCAATTTTTTTTCCATTTTGATCATTTCGATTGTAGACGTAAAGATGGACATCTCTTTCAGACACTCTTAGAGGTCCTTGAAGTAGTTTTGGAACAGGTTCTTGGGATTCATCGACTTTTTTAGTGAATTCGATAAGCTGCTGGATTTCCTTTATAGCTTCGAGACTTAGCTCTACAAATAAAACCGAAAATGATAAGTTTTGCATGCAGTTTGTTGGCTAGTATTGTAAATATTACTAGTATATTCCCATTAGGCTTTAGCACATAATAGAAAATTTTATGTTTCATTTTTGTTTGATTGATGTCCTATGTTATAAGTATCCACAAAAAAAAAATTATTTTACCCTCACCTAGGATCGGTACCTACATCACTGTCAAGAAATATGTCAAAATGAATCTTTTTTGACAGCAACATATTTTATATAGGTACTTATGGGGTTCAAGTATCAGTAGAGGTCAGCTGAACCACTATTTAAACTTCGAATGTACCTATACAATTCAGGTCTAATTAATGAAAACGAAAAAATTGAATTACTTTTTTTGTAAATTTAAATCCCAAATACAACTACTTTACATGAATTATTTGCAAAATCAAATAGATATAAATATCCAAACGACTGAAAATACAAGTATTAAAAATATTGTACTTTGCTGAATTAAAATACATTTTTCTAGTAATTTACTTGAAGTACTGACAACGCTGATTGAGACCATTTTCTTTTGAAAAAAGCAGATTTATAAAATGATCCAAATTTTTCTGAAGCGCGAGCTGTGTTTAAACCTTGATACTTTCCAGGTCGGGGCTTTGTTCACCAGGAGATTTGGTTCATCAGGTTCCTGTAAGGTTACTGATTTTGATGCAGTCTCTTGGTTCTACTTTGTGGCAGTTAGCTTACGATAGGTGGCGGTTGTTGGTTTTGTGTGAAGTGTACTAAGTTTGCACGTAGGTAGATGGCGCTGTAAGTCCCGCGCATAAGATTTTTTGTTGAAACAAGGAAAATAAACCAAGGCTTTAGGACTTCAGTTTGAGTCAGCTAACTTATTTAAGTTGCTCTCTTGCCTTGTTACTTTCCTTGCGTTCGGTATTTTGCTCAAAGTGTAGAGCGAGCTGAGCGGAGCCGTAATCACGTGACCAGCGAGCGAACGGAGCAGTTGAACGCTGTATAAAAGTACCGGAAATTTTAATAAACGAACGCGAATGAGGCTGCACCGAGTACACTTTTTAAATAAACGAACGGTAAAGTCAAGCTCGGAGAACTCAGACCAAAATAACGAACGCACGGTTTATCATCTTTTTGGATAATTTTGAAATTAATAATATTGAAAATACTAATTTTAAACCAATGAACTAAACAAACATACTGGAACGGTGGCTGCATAATGTTCCTAAAACAAGAGGCGTATTTTAGCGAGAGTTTTAACCCAGTAGTATGTTGTATTTACTTGGGATTTTGGGATACTACATTTTAGCGATCATGGCTAACATACTATGACGTCACAACATAAAACACAACATAAAATACGGCTGTAAACATGTAACCATCCTAGGAGGGATAGTTACTGGTTGTAGTATGTCAGTGCATCTTTTTCTAATACACGAAAATGAGCATATGGGGCAAAACATCAGCTGATTACGCTACGATCACCGACACAGTTCTTTCCATTATAAATAGAGGATTGTTTTTCCTCATTTTGCCATGGTTTTCTGTGATTTTATTTTAGAGGTTTTTTGCAAAAAAATAAAAAATCTTCACTTGTGCAGTGCACAAAAGTGTAATTTTATTTTTTTTTGGCATAGGGTACCCATGAAATTCAAAAACTCCACAATCTATCGAAAATCTTCACTGGAGAAATAATATTGAAACTCGAAAACGCAAAATTTTGCAAAATTCAACAAATCCAAATAAACAACGATCATGGCGTCCTCCCTTAGAGCCTTTGTCAAATACACTCCACCTGTTATTTGGGTAACTATGACGTCATGAATCGTAGTATGTATAGTATGATGTTTACCTCTCGCTAAAATACGCCTAAGGGTTTGTGCCAGGAAGGACAACAAACAAGAGGGATTTGCATCTCTGCACTATGGCGGCTATTAAGAACAGCTGTTTGGAGTGTTTGGATCATTGAGGTTAGGAAGATGAAGAAGCTTTCTTTTACGTTAATCGCAATGAGTGCGAGCGAGACAATAATCCCTCTATATTGCTGGGTTGCATATATCAAAATTCGGCACACTAGCATAAAGCAGTGCGCCCGTTCCAGATTGTTTGTTTAGTTCAATGTTTTAAACCGATTATTTGGTGGCGTTACATAGTTGACATATTTTCAATTTACACTCACAGTGAAAACGCTCTTACTAACTTTCTTCCACACATAAACACAGAAGAAACCACTTCACAATAATTTACAATAGAAAAGAAGCCACATAACCAACTAGATATACCTATAAAAAAAAAAACATGGACTTTGAAACCTGAATATAGTAAACCAACATACATCACAAACATAATATGTTCAAACTTCACTTCAAATCACCCCATCATGGTGAAAATTGGTGTAGTTGAATGTCTGCGACAGAGCCAAAATAAAATGTATTAATCAAAATATTCACTTTCACTTAAGAAAAACAAATATAAAAAATATACTGAAACAAAAGGAAGACCCACCAATAACAACCAATCATTACACACCATAAATACCAGAAATTAAGAAAAAATAAAACGAATAAGTGAAGAATACATCATACGCACCATTTTTGAAACACAAAATACAATAAGATCACTAATTATAAAAACAAGACCAAATAATGAAATTGTTCGTACTAAAAACATAATTTATAAACTTCCATGAAATCAATGTGATAAATTCCATATTGGTGAAATTCGGCCATTACAAAAACGTATCAAAGAACATGTCATAAAGTACATAAAAACGGAGACTTATATCAAACTTATACCAACATGCTTTTGACAATAACCATCAAATTAATTGGAATGCCTTCAGCATTCTGACAATAAGGAATCCTTTTCCAAAACACGTGAGATTACAGAGAGTGCATTAATTTTTGGATGAAATTTAAAATACAAAATATGAATGATTAGATATGTATTTTTACCTTCATTTGATCTGTCACTCTCCAAGTTGTAAGCCACTCTACATAAGACAGTTTGGGCTAAAAAAAACAGGATGACCAGGGTCTGCATGGTGCTGCGAACTCTCGAATAATAACTATTTCACCGCGAAAGCCTCTTTAATATATACGTATCATATCATAATAATCAATGCGATTCTGCAATGAGGTAAGCAAATTTCATTGATGGCTTTCGAAAGTCAAGTAGATTTTGATATCTGTATAATTATTTTTTTCAAAAATTTTCCAAAAAAAAAAACCTTCAAAATATTTACTCGATTAATTGAGGATGTAGGTACTACGTGTACAATTAATAACACGTATCTAGAAATCTTTATAAATAAATTTGATATTGTAGGTACCTACAGGGTGTTTGACGGAGGGTTAGCCAAACTCGGTGGGTGTACAGATAGGCCCATTTCGAAAATATTTTATTAATACACTCGTGGCCTTAAGTTCCCCTTTTTTTTATCATTGCTTTCGTATTGTCCTCAAGAATTTTCAAAAATGGAACTTTTAGCTTCTGTAACTTTTTTTTTAAATGTTTATGAAAATGTTTTTTCAAATAATATTAATATTAAAACTTATCCATAGCTCTGTGCATTAACAAAAAATAAATCAGAAGATTATCTGCTACAAAATGCATCTCTAAGGAAATTGATGAATAGAGCATCTTGTAACAAGTAAGCAAAATCTTTGGAAAAATTGATATTGATCTACTAGGGTTAAGTTAGGTTAGGTTAGGTCGAAAATGAATAAGCCTATAACGGACTTCCATCGCGACTCATTGGTCAATTGTGGCTCATGCCTATTTATATTTCTGCAATCATGCCTATTTTTCCAATGGAGTTGGAGAGATGTTGTTCAGGTTTCCCAGTAGGACCGCTGCCCGACCTGAGATACGATGCCTCGGTCTGCCGGACATGGGATGGGATATTCGCAAAGAATGCACTCAGCATCATCTGCCAGCCCAACCTTGTGCATGTGGTGTTTTAGCCTACAGTGGCTGGGTTCGGTAGTTGCATCTGCGAGCAAAAAGAGCAAATTTTGACGGACGTCACGTGATCGCTTATCTTTTTTCACGTGTCAAATCACGTAGCATCTGTGAAATCTGGCTCATTTTGCTCGCAGATGCCAGTGTCCATCCAGTGTATAAGCTTAGTTCTGCCGAGCTCCAGCATCCTTCCAACCGAGTGTTCTTTCACCAGTTGTCTTATGACTGCCTTTGGTTGTGTAATCCCTGGCAGGTTTAGCTAATATTCGAAGACTTTGTTGACCGCTCAGGTTTTAATTTTTTGATTTGCCATGTTATCGGCAATGTCAAGAACTGGCTCTGGCCCTGTGAAGTTGGTTTCGACTTTCCCTCTGGTATGGAGATCCATCATGTCCCGGTATCCACATTAGGGTTACCTTATTTTCCTGCCCTAATTTGCTTAGAGCTTTCTGACAGCTCGAGACTGATCTTAAATTACATTAGCTGAAGCTGAGTGGGGTAACTGTCAGAACATATTTTTATGGTTATGTGAGTTTGAGGTCCATTCTGTAGCCTTCTCACACCCATTTCAATGGCCTGCACTTCCGCTTGAAATATGGTTACATTGTTCCCTCTAGACAGATAGATAACCTAGTTCTCGATTTTGCACCATAAACGGCCGGTCCCACCCCACTGTCCGTCTTCGATCAATCCGTGAACGGTCTGAACGGACATTGATCTGCTTTTAATAGGGCAAGCTGCACCCACTCTTCCCTTCTTGGGAAGATCTACTAGGAATATTCAGATGAAATACCCAGGGGAAAACGATGGTTACCTTATGCATCAAAACATATTGAGCAGACCACAATAAAATAATAAAGTATTCATACTTTCAAAATATGTTTTATTTTCTAACGTAATTATTCGAGGTTACAACGATTTGCCCGTCCGTTATACCAGCGCATGAAAATTTGACCAGTGTTAGTGGGCCAATGGTCAGTTTCGTGCATATTTCTTGGACGCTATATTCACATGGTTGACAGCTAAACACAATGGTGATGGTAGTGGGCATATCGGTGCTATACTGGGATCTGAAATAAACAAAATACATATTGAAGAAGAATTCCGAAATTCTGATTCTAATGTCAGATGTCGAAATCGTGGTAGAATATTCGGCATCTGGCTAGGCCAATTCGAACACATTTCGAAATAGATTGTTTTTAGGTTATATATGACGAAAACAATAATTATTATTAGATTAAAACAAATATGCATTAGAGGGAGTAATAATAGAAGAAAAAAACTAACTTTAATCGGGAGTACCTATATACATCAAGGTCATCATGTGACAGCTTTTAATAGACTTTACTCTCGTGGAAAATATAAAAAATTGAGAAGAAAACTTTCTCAATATTCAAAAATTTACCGAATTTTCGAGTTCAACTGGTAACAGGCATTCATTGATATTTTGCTCTGACATTTTAACACAATGAACTTTAAACTATGGATTTGTTGAAATGTTAAAGTTCAATTTTATTCACAGCGCAGATTTTCAAATACCTAAAGGTTTTATTTATTTTCAGGTATCTATTATGCGGTTCAAAAAGATGTGTTACGAAGTTCCGAATTTAATGATTTAGTGATAGCTGCAAAATTAAAGTTTCCAGCTATACATTTTTTTCTGGAAAGTTTTGAAGCCGCTGTAGGTGTTACAATTGTTTATATACTGAGTTCTACGATAATATTAGGTATTGATCGGCGATAAAATTTCGAATTACTTCGTACCAGAGACTGCATTCTTCTCCAGCTTTTAATGTATTCGTGTTAGCTCCAAATACTTCATCATTATTTAAATCTTCAGAATTGTTAGATATCGTCGAAGATTTTGTTGAATATTCTTGTTTGATTCCACAATGACCCCTACTTTTTTTAACAAACAACTGAGATTACGGTGTATATTTTAAACTACTTACCTGTAAACACCCTTGGTTCTTGATAAGATATTAATTAATCATTGGATTGTTTTTCTAGTTAATAGTTGATATAAGTTTTCAATCGTTGTCTGCAAATTTCATAAACAACAAAATGGAATTTTTTACCTACTCGTGTGTGAAATGAGTTTTCACCTTTTGACAATAACAAAAATTGAATTTCAAGTTTATCTGGTCCTTGAGCAATTTTGAAAAATTTATTTTTAGCAATTATCTAATATTGGGAAAGGTTATAATGGTTTCCAGTGAGTCATTCTATTAGGACTAATATTTCTCTGTATAGTAGCTATACCTAACAAATATATTCCCATAAATTGTAACAGCTGGTAAAGTGCTGGCGAACTATTTTACATTCAGTGGGTAGGTACCATAAAGTGTTGTTTCAAACTTATTTTCAAAACGAAAGTCAGTGTAGTGTAGGATTGACAGCAACCACTTGACACCAGAACCACTTTACCAGATCAATCCTTTTCGAATGATTAACGCAGTTTTTGGTCGAGTATGGTGCACTCTTTTGGTTTATCTGTAAGTATCAATTTCCGACAGAATGAACGAAGAAAAATATATTTTTCAGCAATTTCGAAAAAGTAAAGGTCGATTAGTTGTTTATTCGGCTTGAAAAGGTGTTATAATCTCAATACGTTTAAAAACCACGAACGGAAATAACTACTCATGTAGGTGTTGTTAAAATTTCATAAATCAGTCCACGATTAACTCAAAATTTCTTTCTGCTATATAAGGATGAGTTTTTGTAAATAGCTTTTGAGATAATAAAATATAATATTATTTCTGCACGTAGGTGAATAAATTTGGTGCAAAAACTGGGTTTTGAAAACAAGCCCTACCCAGTGGCGGATCTATGGAGGGAGGCTATAGCCCCGCCATGGCCTAATAATTACTAAGTAAGATTTAAAATTAATAAAATAATTCACTGTTTTTGCACGTCATCTGTTCACTCGGTACATACCTTATGATTTAGATTTTTCAAAAATATAGAAAGCTGAAATTTTCAGCGATTTTTATTGCCGTGGAGGATTCTAGTCCTCCACGGCATTTCAGCTCATTTGGACCGATAGTTCCTGAAATAAAATCACGTAAAAACTTGTTCCAGATTACAAACATTATCCCGACAAAGACGTAACAAAACGAACACCACGACGATCCAGAGGTCAAAGCCACAACTATTTGCAAAACATCCGTTTCCGGAAAAAATTCCATGGATTATCGAGGCGCCATGTTGAACCTGCATAGGTACAAATTAACCACCTCCAATTGTTTAGATTTTTTCAAAAACTCGACTTTGCTGGAGCAACCCGTCAAAGAAGAAGAGGAATGGTATGACACGAAGACTACGTAATTTGTCTTTATTCAACGAACTGCATTTCGACAATCGTTTATGTGCAATTGGTTTGTGGTGAAAACCAACCCTCGTTTGCTTTATCTTTGATCGGCTTCACCAATATCATAGGAATGATAATATTCGGTATAATTGGTGATAAATTGAACGTTATCAAAATATATTCGGCACCAGGCTTGGTGTGCTGTGGCTTCACCTGCACTGCAATGATGCTCTTCACCCACCAATACCCAAGGCTGTTAATTTCTTGCGGCCTATACGGCCTAGCGTTTATGCGCTGACGCCTCCGATATTGGCGTATTTAGTGCCGCTAGAAAATTTCGTATTGAGCTTGTTGTGTCAGGCGATCAAGAATTTGGTTAGACCACCATTAGCAGATGAGAATTATCACATTTGGTGTGTTGGTAGTAAAAATCTCGATAATTACCAAAACTTATTAGTTGGATAAGTTTTTCATTTTCCAGGATTATTCTTTAACAGCACGCATTCTTATGAGCAATCGTTTCACCATGCTGGTTTTTGGGTGATTACGTCCGGACTATTGGTAGGGCTTATACCATATATGAAAAATAGGGAAATTATTGGAAACGGGACCTTAGTGAATGATAGCTAGCAAGTGTAAAATTTTTGAATTTGTTGCACATGTTACTGATTTTTATAGTTTCTAAAGGCTACTTTTGTTTGACACAGTAGCAAATACCTAAGAAGAGATTTTATAAGTATTGTTAATGTAAAATCTTTTTGTTTTATATAAAAGATTGGCTCCATAAATTGTTTCATTTTTATTTTAATGATTAATTTATTCATCTATGAATTTCAGCAAGTACCTAGGTCTGAACATTGGTCTGCACGGATTG